CCAGAATTCCCCAGACAGCATGCTGGCTGGGGAATTCTGGGAGTTGAAGTCCACCCATCTTCAAGTGGCAAGGTGGAGAAACCCTGCCCTACAGAGAATCCTGTGCATGTTTAATCAGACTCCCCATTTCCAATGGACTTAACGTTCCAAAAAGATGTGTTTGGATTCATTTATCTCTTAATGACATGTTTATCCTTTTTGCCTAGAGGCCTGGCCTTTGGTACGGACAGAGCGACCATCCGAAATGCCGAAGGGAGGAAAGGAAAAAACTGTGACCTCTGCCCGTCTGCCCATTAGCAAATACCGAAGGAAATTAGTGGAGGCTATTCGAGGCAACACGTTTGTTGTGGTGACTGGTGAGACGGGAAGTGGAAAAACCACCCAACTTCCCAAATACTTATTTGAAGAAGGTAATGCCATTTACCCACAAGTGTATCCCACTTCCAAGTTGCACGGGTGTTTAGCTTCCTTGGAAAGGGGTCACCAAGAATGGATGGTTTCTTTAAAAAGTTAATTTGCATCGGTGTTTTGCAAACTTGGCCACTTTAAGAGATGTGGACTTCAATTCCCAGAATTCCCCAGCCAGCATGAATTCTGGGAGTTGAAGCCCACTCCTTAAAGTGGCCAAGTTCGAAAAACACTGATTTACATTCATACCCAGATTGAACATTTAAGCCAAGGAGACTGTTATGGTCCATGATGACAGCAGAATAGCGACAAACACCTGAGAATGTCATCATGAAATGACACCATTTCCTACTGCAAGTAGATAAGTGGGGCATTTGCGTGGTGACATCAGACCTACAAGGGAGTCCACAGCTTATGGACCTAGGGGACCAAGACATTTTTTTGCCTTTTTTTCCCCCAATTTCAGTTCTCACTGATTTTCTGCTCTTTACCCCTGCGGTGAAGGCATGTAGAGTTGATCCTGGACATAGGCAAGGAATGAACAAGGTGTTATGTGGATATGTCCTTCTTCTCACCGACTAGTGAGAGAGGCCGGTTGAGAGAGGGAGTGTGTTAGGGAAGGGGGAGTTGGGGTGACTGAGCCCCTGTTGGCGCTGAGAGCAGAGAGCTGAAGTGCCACAGGGGCTCATTCCCCAACCCCATATTCCCCTCACCCTGTATGGTTTGTGGTATGGCAGGTCCCTTAGGTTGGAGGCCAGGAGGGCGGGTGGGTGATTCAGGGCAGGTATTCAGGTGGTGACAGGCATGGGACGTTATGACGGGAGCCAGAGGGCAGGCCGTTCCAGGGGAAGGCGCCCCTGATGTGTTATACTGGTGGCGTGTTCTAGCCCTCGGGGGTCAAGCCCAGACCCTGGTCAGCAGGCTTACAGAGGCCCAGGCTTTCGGCTGCTGCTGCTGAATGCCAGGTCAGTAATAAGGACCCCTTATTCACAACCTTATTGGGGAGGAGCAGGCTGACCTGGCATGCATCACCGAGACCTGGCTGACACCAGAAGGGAGTGCTGCCCTTTCGGAATTGCGTCCAGCCAGGTTTAGGGTTTGTCACCAGCCGACACCCCAGGGCAGGGGAGGGGGTGTGGCGGTGGTCATCCGGGAATCTCTGCGGGCCTTCAGGGTCTCTGCTCCACAAGTGCTGGATGTGAGACCCTGTTCCGGAGGTTGGGCTCGTCGGATCAGTTGGGAGTGTTGCTTCTGTACCAGCCTCCCTGCTGCATAGCAACCCCCCTGCCTCAGCTGCTGGAGGCCATCTCGGGGTTGGCAGTGGAGTTACCCAGGCTTATGGTCTTGGGGGACTTTAATCTGCCATCCCTGGGGTTGGCCTCAGAGGTGGCTCAGGAGCTCATGGGTACCATGGGCCTATCCCAGGTCATCCATGGCCCAACTCGGGACAGTGGCCACACCCCAGTCGTGGTTTTCTTGTCGGAGCAGTGGCAGCGTGATCCAGTGGGGGATTTGGTATTGTCCCCTCTGTCATGGTCAGACCACTCCCTGGTGGCCGTGAGGTTCTCCTACGCTGCCCCCCTCCACAGGGAGGTGGGGCCTATTCGGACGGTCCGCCCCCGGCGCCTGATGGACCC